CTGACTCGGAGATTCGCTCTCCTGACTCGTCGAGTCCCCTCATTAACCACGTCATCCAATCGCGACCAGACTTGACGAGTCTGAGCACCAACTCATCGAGTCAACCTACATAAATAAAGAATTTCAACATAAATCAATATACCTGGGAAACTGGGTGTTACAACTTAAGGCCTATGCAATCAGATTAGGGTTTCCACCTGAAAACCCTAACAACCTCAACTATATAAGGACCCCTTGGTATATAATTTTCGGCCTATGCATTCTAAGAGAAACCTAGATGAAAATTGAAGAGCCTCCATCACCTCTCTCATTCATCCTTCGCTAGTGGTGTTTGTGACTCCATTAGAGGTGTAACGCTTAGGACACTAAGCTTTCAAAAGTCAAGATCAAGCAAGGAATACTTGTTATTACTAAATAACAAAAAAAGTATTCTTCTAGCCCTAATAATATATAGATTTTGGTTTTATATATACTAGATCTAGGTTTATTGCTTTGGAAATATTGTTTGCACGTATAACTTGAGAAAAACCTAGATCCAAAGCAAGTATGGTTGCATTTATACATAGGAATGTATATATGCTCAAAACCCATCAGTACGAACAATGATTTGAAATACTATTTTCACTTGAATGAAAAATGAAATTTTTGGGTCGTATTTTTGGGATGTTTTAACAGTTCCATCCAATTACTTTTGACTTAAATCATTCAGAATTTAATTTACTAATTCATGCAAAAAGTCTAGAATATTACTTTTTTTTTTTTTTTCTCATTCTACCATTTGGCTCCAAAATAGAATTTAATGGCTTAAATCACCTAACCAACATTATCAACATCCAGTAAGGTGTAAACTTTATTTCCTTGAAACCAAAGACCTTTACTCAATCAAATTATAGTCCGTTATCCCGAAATTAGAAAGTTCATCATTGTAGCCACCACAAACTACCATGACCACGATCGGTCACGAAGCACCAGAGTGGTGTTCATGGACCGTGGTCATTGCCACGTAAACCACAAATTCATTCGATAAAAGTACACCGGAGGCCCATGGATCACAAAATAAATTTTATAAAAATAAATATTTTACAAATTAATAGTTTTTTTCAATAAAATTAAAATGAAAGATTAATAATGGATAATAACTTCTAAAGTAACAAATTTTCAATTTTGTTCATATTTAATCACTTTTCTTTTTATGTAGATAACCGCTCATAATTATATTCTTTTTAAAACAAAATAAATTCACCGGTAAATTATGTATATAAAAAAGAAAGTGGTTAAATATAAACAAAATCAAATTTTCGTTGTCATTTTCTCAAGTTCAGCTATTTTATTATGTCTTTTTTCTAGATGCATCGTGTTAAGCAAATGTAACATTTTTATGAACATGGTTTCACATCATACTCGTGAAACATTTTGGAATCATGTCGACTTTTGCATGTGTTTAGGAGGCCAACAAAGCCTTCAATACCAAATGTTCTCTTTGTTATTATGTATGTGGCATCGTGTTGGTGTTTGTTAGTTTTAGGTAACTCGACATGATATACATTATTTGCAACACTTTATTTTTTCTTATATGCCAATGTATGCATAAAACTTTAGTTCCTGGATTGAAACTCTTTTGTCCTTTATGTACTTTTTTCCATTGAAATGTAGTGGCTACAAAATTTTGACCATATGAAAACAATACACAAATACACAAGATATGCCATGATCCCACCATTGTTTGTCACTAGCAAATCTCGACTTCATATTTTATAAGTGTTGTCATGTTCCAAAGTCGTGTGTTCATTTCTTAATGATGGTGTATACAAATGTTGTCGACAATCTATACTAATAAATAAAACTTATTTTCTGCCACATGTCATGTCCTCATTGATTTGGACACATGACATTTTAATAGATTTTTAGAATTTATTTATTTCTACATGTAATTTTCTGATTTGTTCACATATCATAACTTATTTCGGTTATAATATTGAGAGAAATAAATGCTTTCTTGAAAAAGAATTGATATATTTATGATGAAATAAATATCATAATTATTGAGAGCTCTAAAATTGATATTGATGTTAAATTTAATGTTTAAATATTGATATTAAATTTGTATTTTTAATAAACTCGTGTAGTACACGGGTCTTACACCTAGTTGGCTAATATTCTAAATGTAAACATAAATGTTATAGTATGGAGTAATTATGTAAAATTTTATAGGTGTAATTTAAAAAGTTATTATATTTTCAGTTAGTTAAAATTTGAAAATTACACCGCATAATACGCTTTAACAAAATTATAAACTACAAACTGGTCCATAAAAATTTAAATAACGTTATTCAATACGATTTGATACAATATCGATTCAGTATAATAAATGTTGTACTAAATAGTGCATTGGTTAACCAGTTTTCTTATAATAAACTACGTGAATCTCCGCACATTGCACGAGTATATAGTTATATAGTTAAAATAATAACTATTAAGAAATTATTATTTCATATTTCTACATGAAAACCAATGTAAGTAGCAAAACAAACTTATAGTTAACATATTTATTAGTTATATTCATCATTGTTTTAAACCAATCGTGATGTATATCGTTAATTGATAATTATACAAATTGTTAACGTTGTGTCAATTATGTATCAAACGTATTATATCTGTATATAACGAATAACGAAAAGGGTGAAAAAATAAATACTACAACTTTATATTTACATGAAAACACTAAAATATTTATTATGATATTTGTATTAAAAATCTATTAAACACTTACAGTACTTACAGAAGAAATATACAAAAATCAACAAACATTTGATGTATAGAAACTCCATTAATTATCGTAATATCCAACAAAACTATTTTTTATACTTTTTAATATTTGAATCACAAATTTCTTCAAATACATAAATGTTTTTTATGATCAAAACTTACTTATATAATATTAATATAAGTTAGAAAGTGTATGAATGAGAGAAAAAAATAAAAAGTTACTAATAACCATAAGTCAAACACTCATGAGTTATCTTTATATATACAGTAAATGACACGAATGGTCTCTATGGTTAGGGGTAATTTGTGCGTTTGATTTCTAACTTATTTTTTTAATTCGGAAAGTCTCTACTGTTTGTTTTTGTTACGCACTAGATCCCTACTATTTGTTTTTTTATGCGTTTGGTCCATATCTTACCTAAAAAAACTATTATTTAAATATGGAAAAATGGTAGGATAGGTAATGTAAGGTTATAGTGGGGTTAAGGGTGTATTTATTTAAATAAATTAAAAAATCAATGGAAAAATAGTTTTTTCAGGTACGACATGGGCCGAACGCGTAACAAATACAAACAACAAAGACCTTCCAAGTTAAAAAAAAAAAAAAGATAGAGACAAAACACGCAAATTACCCTAAACCATAGGGACCATTCATGTAATTTACTCTTATATATATTAAACCAGAAACCTGATGATGTCACCTTCAAAAATTAGGACCATTCATTGGGTTTCATTGATTGATTTCAACCCTTAGATCGTTCTCCATAATCATAACAAAACAATTCACCATTTATTGAATGCATACGAAATTCGATTGATAACAATTCACTATTCATAAACACTTTCCATATTGAAATCGAAAAATCAACCACCTAATTAGTGTTTTTTGATAAGTCGATGAGGATGATTGCTCTATATTTGATTGACATCCTTTCTGAATCGCTTCCTCAAGTCAGCTATTGAGCCATTCCATCGGCTGTTGATTATATTGGGGCATTCACAAAGTGTCATTGAATTTTAGGGTTTTGTTTCAAGGGTTCCTTTCTTCTCTCTTTTCTTTTCCGGGTTTCTTGTTGAATTGAGTGATGTCGACGACAACACACAATCGGAAAGCTTCTGAAACAATGTTGTCACTTGCAAAGTGACATGCTTCAGAGAATGTCATCGGGAAATCAATGGATTTGCCGCCACATATGGCCAAGAAACATCCTGCTCTCGCTAACGTCACGAATCAAAGACCCACCTCTTATAACATCTCAAAAATCACATATAATTTGGTAAAACATAATTTCATTCTTTCACGTTCTTTTAAACTATTATGGGGTTTTCATTTTCTTCATTATATCGCAATGATGTTTGATTTTCTTGAATAGGTTATCAATCAGTGTTTATGCAAATACAATTTTGATGATCATATCCATTTCTTGATAAACAATTATAATCTCTTAATGCTCTGTTTCCTCTAAGAACAACAACCATAGCTCCTTCCAATTCAAAATCGACCCTACTTCTTTTTTGTCTTATTTCAATAATTTTAATGCTTAATTTTCAAATACTGAGTATAAACTACATCTACATAAGGGATCTTCAATTGTCAACAACAATAGCGCCTCATATGGAAGTATCTTCTCATCATCAACCCATATGAAACCAACTACTTCAACTAAGAGTATACCCACATAAAGAAAAGATACAATCGGTTCAAAGAGTGTCAATGGTATAGTCTCATGTATCATTTTTGTCTGATGTATTTATAATTTGTAACAAAAAGCAATCGCCATTAATGGTGAAAGAAGGATTATGGTTTCTGGATCCATTCATTACACTCGAAATAACCCTGAGGTACAACTCATCAATGCACTTCATTCATCACTTCTTTTTTTCTTCTTCTAAAAATGTTTACTTTTTTCTGAATGTTTTTCTATGCATTTTGATGATCAGGTGTGGCCAGATCTCATTCAGATGGCTAAAGAATGAGGTCTTGATGTGATCCAATTGATGTATCACTCTACATGCATCTTCCAACACTATATGTTTTATCAACTCTAGGAAATAAGATTAAAAGTAGTATTTATTACAAATTCTTTATGTTTGATCATTTGAGGAACATGTTGACAATTATTATTATATATGATGTGAATGCACTAACTATGCCCCTACATTAACTATTATTATTATATATGATTATTATCCTATTCCTATAATACACATTCTTATTTGCATATGCTAACCACATGCATCATGATGGTGGTGGCTATCTCTCTGATCAAAATAGACTGGGGGAGGGTAATTTGGACCCAACTGATTTAAAAGTGGCCAAAGAGGTGCAAAAGAAAGATTTTCCTAATGATATTCCAGAATGTGGGGCAGATGTCCTTCGACTATCATGTGAGATTAATTTTTATTTTCAGGTCAAAGTCAAAGATGTCAATTTCCAGATAATGTTACTCGAACTTCAATTGGTGTGATTACTTGCTCTCTTTCTCCGTTTCATTAGGGATTCCATTGATTTCTTGAGATTGCTTTTATGATAATATATCGAACCTATGAATTATCCATTGACTCCTCAAGAACCTTTTTTCATTCATGCATGGTAAATAAAAACCTAAGAAGCACTTTTAGGTATACATTTGGGGACATTGCATAATTTACATATTTGATGAATAACATTTTTTTGTCTTATTGATCTTACAAGTAACATTTTTAGAAAATTGATTGATCAATCCACCCAATGCAGATTGACGTCAGGTGAGAAGAAGGAAAGAAGAGAATAAGAGAGATGCTCCACAAGCTACTACTAATGGTGCAAGAAGTGACATCAATGACGCCCCTGCTTTAAGTTTTTGTAACCAAACTATGTTGAAACTTTCTTATTATCAAGGGTAGGATCGTAATTTTTATGATTTTTTTTGTAGGCTTCATATCTAAATGGCAGATCAATACTGATCTTATGGGTAACATCTTTAGAAAGTTGATTGATCAATCCATCCAATGCAGATTGATGTCAAGTGAGAAGAAGAAAAGAAGAGAATAAGAGAGATGCTCCACAAGCTACTACTTGTTGTGTAAGAAGTGACATCAGTGGCGCCCTTGCTGTAAGTTTTTTGTAACCAAACTATATTGAAACTTTGTTATTATCAGGGGTAGGATGGTAATTTTTTGATTTTTTTTGCAGGCTTCATATTGAAATGACAGATCAAACACAAAAGAAACAACACCACCTAACAATATAACAGTTTCTGTTTGTATAAAATCGAACACATGATACAACAGATGACATGCTGTAGTTTCTGTTCAAACAGTTCCCTGGTTTTAAAGAAGTCCGAATGATTGATGCAAAATTAGGAATTGCAAGTCACGACATCCATTATTGGCTTGGTAAAGATACAAGTTAGGTGTGTTTTCACTTTAAAATTATTCTTTTCGTAATTTTCTTTTATATGTTATATAGTTATTCACTATCTAATTTCACATCGTTTTTCCAAAATTTAATTTTTGTTCCAGGATGAAGCTGGAACAAAAATCACTGAAGACAATTACAGAGCAGAAGATTCGTATGTTTACTTGCCAAGGAAAGCATGTAGTTAAAGAAAGTCAAATAAGCTTTTCTGGTTCATCAAGGGCTCATCAGGTATCAACAACACTAGTACATTGTGTTCAATTATGTGCACAAGAAGTGTGGGTCACATGTCTGGCTCTTATGTTTTTAATATGTAGGATTTTCATCAAGTTTGTTTTATTCCTAATAAAAGATTGATTACCATGATAAAGTTTTCAATTTGACAATACAATTGAACGATCATTCTGAGAGTCATATTGTTGGTATTGATTAATTTTATTGTATTAATTTTTGGACACAGATTGAAGTAAAGTTGCAAGGTTTAGTGGGAGTCAAACATAAGATGATAAGTTGGGTAAACATTTCACTAGGATGTTATAAAGTTAATCCCAAAGACTGTCATCTCCAGCTAACATAATGACTTTTGGTAGTCCTGTACTATTTATTTGTTTATCATTGGTCCAATATTTTTTGATTTCATGTTCTAAATTTTGATCATATTAGTAGACGAGTGGTAGAAGAAGATACCGTGCGACTTCCCAGATGAATAACTTCATTAGATCCATAGTGCCATAATGCCATCCTTGCATTGGATTCTTTTGTTGTGTTCGTTTATCAAGTTGATGATATTATTAATAAGGTTCTTCTTACATATGGAAAATCATGTTAGATGTTTAAAGCTTGTAATAGATAATCTTTTGTTTTACGCCCTATTAATAAGATGCTTATAATTTGTTGAGTTTCCTATTTTACCCCTATATAAGTATACTTCACTTGTACATGAGGTATAACAATATCATTCACTTGATTAATACCTTTGTGTAACTTGTGCTTGACTTTTGTTGACTTTAGGGTTGGGTCAATCAGGAGTAATGGAGACCATGGAGGGGTAAAATGGTCTTTTATCCACTTCAAGAGTTAGACATAGAGAAAGAATAACCTTTGGTGTATTTGAGTATGAATAGGTATAAATTAAAGATGTTTATCCTATGTGTTAGGCGGAGGCTAGTTTGAGATTTCTGAGTACGTGACTGTTACTTGCTAGCTTACGGGGTGAGTCTTCTCACTATACTTAAAAAGAGTGGTATCTTTGTGTGATTGAGATTTCTTATGTGCTTACATTGTTTATTGTGATATCCTGCATTATTTCTTTGTGATTTATGTTGTGTATTACTCAGAACTTATAGAGTTAGGACCGAAGAGTCCATCGGAGTTATGGGACCAGAGGGTCCCACAAAGATACATTGACCAGAGGGTTTTACTGTGTTATAACATCGAGTGGCTACAAAGTTGTGTGGGGTATTTTGGGGAACTCACTAAGCTTCGTGCTTATCGTGTTGTGTGTTATGTGTTTCAGTTTTTTCTCAGGATCACGGGAAAGCACCAGCTTGATTGTACACACCAGTGAAAAAGCTATGTATTGACGATCATGGATTTTAATCAAATAATTATGGAGCTGCGATTTGTAAATTTAATAAATGAGAATTTGTGAAATGTTTTATGAGAATTATTCGGTTTTAAATGAAAATTTTGTTTGAAAATTTACGATGTTACATTTTTTTGTAAACATATGGAACATTTTATGTAAAAAAATATGCACAATGACTTTTTCTATATATAAATTAGATTTACAATTATATAATATATTTTTTACATAGGGACCAAACCCGACAACATAAAAAATTCTTGTGGCTAGAGTCTGAAATCCAAATAGTTTATTTTTTAAACACATATACCATTTAAGCAAAAATAAATAAATAAATAAATAAATAAATAGCTTTTCTATATATTATAGGGGAAACTTTTGTAATTTATTTTCTACATAAGGACCAAGCCTGCCAAAATACGAAAGTATGTTGCCCAAAGTCTAAAACCTAAATATAAAAAAAGGACAATAACCTTTTCTATAAATTATAAAGATAGTTTTGTAATTTATTTTTTTACATAAGGACCAAAAATGCCAACATACAAAACTATTATAATAAAAATCTAAAAACAAAACTATTGTGGCAAAAGTAAAAAAAAAGTAGTATAATTTTCATACAACCTTTGCTTATTATTATATAAACTATTGTAATTTTAATTTCTACATAATTTATTTTTTATATATAACGAAGCCAACATACAAAATTATTGTGACAAAAATCTAAAACCGAAAAGTATTGTGACATAAGTTAAAAAAATGCTATTCATACAACCATTGTTTTTTATTATATATTAGTTGTGAGACTCATATGTTTCATATATTTATTAAACAAACTATATGAATGTCTAAACATTTTAAGTTTAAATTTATATGAAAAATTAGACAAATATTGAATTATTGAAATTAAAGTGTTCATTTTATTAAAAAAAATTAACAAATAATTTAAATAAATAAACTAAAGAAATTATTGGGCTTTAAATTTAGTAATTTTGAAATTCAAAGAAAAATTATATTAATGAAATTATTATCCATTTATTATTATTTTTAAATACTATATAAAATTTAATAAAAATGATATGATGAAAAATAATTTAATTTGGAATAACCATAAAATTACTTGTAACAAAATAAATGAAAATGTGATATATATATATATATATATATATATATATATATATATATATATATGCTGTTTATCCACGCCAAACGACGAGTGCAAATAGTGTTTACATAAATTAGTTTCTAGATTCCATTAATATTTTATAAAAATAGTTATTAAATTTAAACAATTATCAATAAGAGTTATGATGGCATAAACGAAATTAGTAAGAATTAGAAATGAAAAGTTTGGATTATTTACAAATGTACATGAACACCTTGTTGATTGTGCATTGTTAATCATGCAACACTTCTTTATACAATGCATACGATGTATAGACTTAAGTGACGTTGAATTGTTCGTTAGTGTTCACTAATACTTTTGTATTGATACGTGATATCCCTCTGGATAATCCACATAAAGTTGGTCATGAGAGAAAACAATTAACAATAAGAGTCATGATAGTAGAAACCAAATCAATAAGAATTAAAAATGAAAAGTTTGGATTATTTAGAAATGTACATGAAGACCTTATTGGTTGTGCATTGTTAATCATGTAATACTTCTTTATACATCACATTTGATGTATAGACTTAACTGACGTTGAATTGTTCGTCATGGTTCATTAATACTTTTGTATTGACACGTGATATACCTCTGGATAATGCCACATAAAACTGGGCATGCAAGAAAACTGATTCTTGAAGATAAATACCTACATTTGAGATTGTATGTCCCTGAGATTTATTGATTGTCATTGCGAAAGATAATCGAATTGGAAATTATTTTCTCTTTGGCTTGGATAGGAACATGTTATCTTTAGACGAACATAGAGGAATCCTTGGTAAAAATACCATCTTTCATTCATGTTGACCAACAACTATTTCAACATCAATGACATTGTGTCGAAAAAATTTACATATCAATCGGGTGTTGTTACACAATCCGTTTGATGGGTCGAGATTCCGTAATAATATTATTGGGTATCTAGCTTTCAGTCGTAAGTAATGAGAGGGTAAACCACTAACATTATGTGTTCAAGAATTTCACATGATAAAAGTTATTTGTACCCTCTATGGCTTCATCAAAACTATAGTAAATTCTCTTTTATTCATGGAATCGGTCGATCAAATAATCATTCATATCATCCAGTATTGTAAAACTCGCCGAGTTGGCCGATTACTCCTCCGAGTACTCGCTACTCGGCCCCTTACCGAGGCGAGTTACAAAATCCCGAGTACTCCCCAATCGGCCTATTTACTAAACTGAGTAGTTTTGTAAAACATGGTCAACTCGGTGATTAATATGTATAATATACTTAATGATTTATTATTTAACACATACATATGATTATTACCACATATATATCTTAAATTTTCAGTAATTATTCGCGAAGTAAGACCATTATGTGATTTTTCAGCTTTTGTGTATTCACATGTATCTAATTTTGTTATATATTTCAATCAACTTATGATTTTAACTTATGATTTTGACATACATAATTTCCCTAAAAATATTTCTACATGAATTACCGAATCCGAGTACTCCCGAGTACTCTCGGGTACTCGCTACTCGGTAGTCGGCCGAACAAGTACCGAGTAACGAGTTCTGCAACCTTGATATCATCGACACTCTCATTGCTTGTGGATAATATTACCCACTAAATAATATAATTTGATTAGGTTTATATAATTTCAAAGGATGAAAAGATTGCATGAATCAAAACATTCAATGACTTTGCTTTATCCGTGAAAGGAATCACTATATCATCGGGAATGCGAATAAAGCTCTCGTATGCCGTTTCTTTAACTCCTTCACCGACCCGTCCATCGAATAAAAATGAAAATATATGTAGTTTTGGGTTAAAAATAAAAACATATTTTTGTTTTTGGTTAAAAAGAAAAAAAAAACACTTTCATTTTGTATTAAAACCAATATAAATACATTATTATTGGGCTTACGACATGTTACCAATTTCAGATAATAAATATATCATATTTTTTATTTTAAGGAGTCTTTATATATTTTAGTTATGATTTAGAGTTTAGGTTGGTGTAATAAATTGTTTACGCTAAAAATAAAAATAAAGGTATGTTTCTAAGTTGGGTAAAAAGTAAAGTATGTCATTGTTATTGTTTAAATTTATAATTTGATGATGTTTAATTAAAATTTATATATAATCTTATTGCTAGCCATTTGGATATAATATATAAAAAATATTATCTTTAATTTAATTTGGGTTTTGTGAACTTAGAGTAACACATAGATTTTTGGAAATATGCACTAAAGGATAAATATTTGTTTATATATTTTCCTTTTCTTTTACTTCTTTTTTATAATAAGAACAGTCACGCTTTAAAAAACTGGAACACGTGGATGCAGATCTTGTCATTTCTTTTTTCTTTGCTAACATTGTTCTTAAAAAATTCAGCCGTTTCAAAATAAAAAAGTCTATTAATTTGGAACATTTTACTAATGAAATTCTTTTGTTATGACACTATCCACTGAAATTTCTACTTATTTATATCCTACAAGTGTGATGTTTTTTAAAACAGAAAAACATTTTAACATTGAACACATTAAAAGTCATTGAAACATTCTAATGATGAGTGATGACATCTTCATACTACAAAACAAAAAATCAATGTGAATCCAAAACTGTAGATTCATTAAATTACAGATGGAAAGAAATAATATTTTATGATATTCCCTTTTTGTTATGGTGCAAAGCAAAACCTATAAAAGTACCAACTAACCATATAGTAATAGACATGTAGGCTTATTTAAGCATCATAGCTTCTCTCATTTGCTTGTCCACGCTCAGTTACATGAGCCACATCATCTATTGTTATCCTACTTTTAGCAATATTTAGTTGTTAAAATCACTTTCCTGCAAAAAAGAAAAAAAAACAAATCCTGAATGTTTGAATAAAAATTATTATAATAATAAAAAAGGTCAAAGACATACATCATGCCAGAAGGGGACAATAAAATATTTCATGTTGAATAATGGTAGGTATTGAACCATAAGGCTAAGGGGAGTGGTAACACTCCTAGCATTTTACTACATCAGATTTTTGAATGCCACCTCATTTTTTTTTATTTAGCATCTAATCTTAACATTTGGTAAGGAGTGGTAACACTCTTAACACTCCATTTTTTTTTCTTTTTCTAATTTAATTTAATAAACAAACATTTTGTTTTAATATTACACAAACATTTTTTAATATCGCATATTTAGATCAGAGTTGCAAAAACTGAAGTCATTAAAACAAATATATATAGATTACTAAATACTTTAGGGACTAATTTTGTAACTATAAGTTAAAACATGCTGAAATACCCATCACCATTAAGTTATACCCTTATCCATTAAGTTATACCCTTATCTGCCGCCTCCATCCATCGTCTTCTGTTTCTCATCGAACATGTTGCCTCCAGCTCCAATCCTGCAATTGTCTTCTCTTCCATTGCGTGCAATTGTTTTCTTCCATCGCCTCCATTAGGTGAGGCTGCTCCGTTGTGCTATTTAGGTGATGTTCTCTGCAACAGTGCCAAATTTTTTTACTCTCCATCTGATCGATTGAAGCTCCTGATTTCTAATTTTCAATCCTTATTTTTATGATTGATTATTCAATCTGATTTTAAAAGTGATTTTGCATATTGACGGGTAAAGCAGCCAATCATATGCAACATCCTTCCCTCTCTTCTCTCGCCAAGCCCCTAACAAGCTTCATTTAGCAACCCCCCTAGTGAGCGCTAGGGGGCGGTGTTTTCATGCCCTTGGCGAGCTTAGCGGCTTCATTTGGCGACTCCACTCCATTTGGCCTAAAGGGTAATGGACAACAAACTATGGAACTATAAGAAAATTGTTTGCCTTGAGATTGTTGAGAAACTTTGACATTTTGTCCCAAAATGGGAGAAATAGCAGAATTTCCCCTAGATCTTGTACATTTTAAAAATATATTTATTGATTCTTTCTTCATTCATTTCTATAGACCTGACAAATCTTTTAACAAAAGTATAGAATTTACATATTCAATATAATTAAGCAATAAAACTTGTTGCTTCATCGTAAATAACAAAACCATAAAAAAGGACATTCGTGTACTAACTTAAGCAACTACTTCTTGTCTTCTTCTTTTTATCCTAATGGAAACAAAGAAATAAGAAAACACTACAATTACTTAAAATCAAAAGAAAAAAAAAAGAATCCCTAACTTCAAGTCACTAAACATAATAGGAAAAAATAGCACCATAATTA